CTGCAGTCGCAAGCGAACAGAGACCCGATTTTGGTACCCGACTGATGACAAGCGAGAGTAGGACCCTTCACTCTCCTCGGAGCCCTCCAACCTAACAACAAAGAAACACTACATGAAGTGAAAAAAAGGCGGTATGAAGGTCGAAGTAACTAAAGATCGAAACTTAATAGTTGATGAAAGTTTACGTCCAAACTCTTTGTTGAACGATGACCACTCGTGGATCCCCACCGTGTGGAATAAGAATTGAGTCACCCGGCCGCAAATATTAGCGACCAACATAGGAGTCTCCTTCTCGGTTGCACAAAAAGGAAGAAGAATGATTAAATCCCCGAAGAGAGAACATGTTATCAGTTAGCAAAAACTCTCACGGGCGAAGTTCCACTCCTCAAGGAACCCACTGGGGTTCGCTACCACGTGCTTGGTTTTGATATAGAAGAAGTTGAACCAAAATCGACGATTTGTCTTATCATCAATTTTCACCACCAGTCCCTTGGTCCCATGGTGGCGGTGGTGTATCATCATACCCCTGTGAAAGCTTGGCGCGAAACGGTGCAGCAGATGGCAGATGGAAATCCCATAGTTGGCCAGTTCCGCGTACTTTGTCAACATAAGAAAGAGTTAGTAAATATAGGGGGAGAGCTGGGCCGGACAGATGCCGTAGTAGTGGTAGAATTCCTCCGCCAACGGGGGAAGAGGCAGAGAATAGCCCACTTGGAACGGGTACGCACAAAATGCGCAATACCCAGGACGATAAATTTGGACCACGTCGTTCACAGCTGGGACCAGATCGACGTGAGCAAGGATGTTGTACTTGGCCCTAAGCTCGGCAAGATGGGCTGATCCCATCTCGGATTTCACAGGCTCATGCTCATCCGCAGGTGACTTCGAGAAGTCCGACCTGGAGCCTGAATTACAAGGAATGATTTCTTCCACAGTAGGGAAGCTTTCATCCTCTACAACAATGGCTTCCCCTTCATCATTAGATGGCATGGACACTGACAATGGAACCGGGTCAGAGTTCCCCTCATTGTTAGAAGATGCACTAGCCATCCTTTGTTTTACGTATGCAAAGGAATTGAAAAAGAAGAAGTGATAATGGTGGAAGTTACTGAAAGTAGGAACACAGAAAGAAGAAGAAGAGAAGAAAAGATGCAGGTTTAAAAGATTAGAAAACGTAAAGGTTCATTCAAAGGGTTTCCCCCCTTTATTTATAGAAAACAACGGTGCTCGGATCGACACGATTAACCGTCAAATACACAAGGATCGAAACGACATGGACACGAGGAATGATGCAAAGTATCGGGAAGCTGCGTAATTATGATACATGAGGTTGTGACGTCACTCTAAACCAATGTCATTAGGCGTGGCTCTCAAAATGCTACGCCACTATCTCAGCCGTGATTCTCACTACTTGGCCTCTCCATCCGAAATTCCCAAACTGTGATTAATGAAGTCCGGTCATTGAGGTCGACCAAAAAATGACCTCGATAAGTGGAGGAACTAACTGTAGGGGTCAAAATCCGACTGAGGAAATTCAGCACGAGGAGGTGATTATCGTGAGATACTATTATGGGTAGTTTGGCCGAGGTCGATCAGTGGTCAACAGAACAGGACGCTGAGCGGCTCATCAGGACCGAGGTCGAGGAGCATGGATAGAAGTAACGATTAATATAGCTTTGGAACTTTCAAAGGAAATATTCTATTAAATATTCCTTCTGTTGTACCTTTTAGGGTTCTTTGAGAATATCCCATATAAATAGTAGGAGAGATAAGGCAAAAGGCATGTAATATTCCATATGATAAGAAAACTTTTGAAAAGTGAGCTCTCTAGATAAATACAAAGAACTACTTTCTGAGAGAGATGCGATCTCTTGATATTAGCTATTGTCATTTCCACCAGATCCAAGAACGTGTCTCATATTCTCTTATATTCTTGTCATTCATCATTGTTAGAGGAAGGAATCATTCACCTCATTCAATATTGGGTGAATCTTCTCCCTTATTTACATTTAGTGTTATTTATTGTTATTTATTACTTATCATTACTCTCATCCCATTAATAACCGTAACATTTATTGTATATTGCATTGAATCCACTTCGGCACGGTCCCACGTTATCCACATAATCTGATTTTAGATCTATGGTCATTATCTTTAACTAGGATTAACCCCTTATCCATTTATTTAATTAGTTTAACCAAAGATTCATATTTTTTTTGTCAAACAAATACCAACAACAAACAATGAGTTCAGTGTAATCCCACAAGGATGATACACGGGACAAATTTTGACTTTGCACACATAAGCTAAACATATGTAAAGTATCAAAATTGCCCTTACCACTATTGGTGGTGAGAGTTTCATATCTTGTTATTTTCTCTCTCCTAGTAAATACATTTTTATATCATCAAGTTATGCTATTAAGAGTAAAATAGTGGATGCTATTATTAAATTATTTTCAAATAGATAAATATGTCTTTCTTTTTTAGACGAATAGAAAGTATGTGTCCAATAAAATAGGACAAAGGGAATACATAATAATTCGGACCCCAAGTAATAAGTCAGTTGAACTCACAGAACCCCCATGATCCACCTCTAAGGATATGTCGGGCAACAAATGTAGACCTTGATATAAGATTGGATTTAAATTAGTTGGGGCAGAGTGGTACTGCCACTTCCATATATACAAGTACATAATTTAAGCTTAAGATGAATGATATGACCAAACTCGTAGCCCAAATATTTCACCTACTCTAGCTTTGAATGAATTTGATTTGCAATGACTACCAATAGGGCAGACTGACAGTTGAACTACATTGAAGAGTAGACATGAAAATGGTTGGAAGAGAGATTTGTTGAAGTTCCATTTACTCCGTTAGTTCAGTTTTAAATATAAAAGGCTTCATTTACTTCATCCAGAATCAAGATATTTTAGCCACTCCTATGACAAAAATATAACACACGTAGGGGACCCTTCTATATAGGATAGGCTGGCCATGGCTATAACTTAGGACCAAAATTATTTTCCAGGTTTTCTGATTCAAAGATGTTGAGGAAATGGAAAAAAAACGGGAGCTCATATGAGGTCTCCTCCCTCACAAAAAGAAAAGCACGATTCGAAATATGAAGGTTAATCATCCAATTTTCATGCATCTAAAATGCGTAATATTAATCATTCCATTATTCACACAAACCCTTTGCTAACTTATCTATTCTATTGCTTGAGGAATAGTTTCGCCTTCAATCCTACATCTGACAATGAAGTCGAGTTACGTAAGGACTTTATTATTATATTGAGAAAGCATGAGTGGCAGTGGGGTTGTTGAAGAGGACTACAATTTTGTAGATAGTGCTTTGTCATATGAAGAAAAAGCCAAAGCATGAGTCTTACTTTTGGTTAACTAAATCCTTCCACTTCAACCACTAATTTCTACCGCAAATGATAATTGGGAAACTTTAGCCTTTTTGTAGAACAATAAACTAATGAACCCCAATCAATGTTTGCTTCAAGAGTAAGGTAACCTTATGAGTTAGACAAGTCTTCTATAAAAGGAGAACACAAGTTTAAGAAACAGTCCCTAAAATATCCTTAGTTCCACTAATTAAGACAGTCTACCAGTTCCAAGCTCTGATAAGGTAAAATCCTCAACCCCTCTTTTTTCTTTTACCTTTATTATTGACAAAATTAGAAGGAAGTAAAGTTGTTATCATGTGACCAGGAGGTCACGGGTTCGAGCCGTGAAAACAGCCTCTTGCAGAAATACAGGGTAAGACTGCGTACAATAGACCCATGTGGTCTGGCCCTTCCCCGGACCCCGCACACAACGAGGAGCTTAGTGCACCGGGCTGTCCTTATTCTTGACAAAATCATTTTATCTTGTTCACAATTTTAATTTGGTTAAAAGTTTCTTGACATACTTTTGTTGATTATTGAAAGGATATAACTATGGCTACTAATGGACCAAGTTGGGCAGATCAATGGGGTGCAGGAGGAATAGGTGCTATGGATGAAGATGACAGTTATTATAAGAGCAACAAAGAAAATGGAAATAACAAGAAAGCCAGTGCAGGAATTGGCAAAGTGAAAGCAGTAGCAATTGCAGGTGCACAGAAAGTGAAAAATGGCCCTTCTATGGTCATCAAATGGGTTAGGAGCAAATCACAAAAGAAAAACTCCTCCATTTCATGAATAGAGATAGAGATTATCTCATCTTTATCTGGCCTTCTGTAATAACATTCAAGATTTCAGATCAAATGAGTCAAATTAGAGGCCTTAAATAAACTTATGGATTGTTATGCTTCATTTATACCAGGACTTGCTTGGAACCTAAAGAGGACAGTTTTTATATTGCTTCCTTGCCAGCTTCTTCAAGAAAGAAATTCCAACTTCTCTAAAACAAAATCATCTTAAAAAAAGAATATTCCTATAGTAATAATTAAAGACTTGGGAACAAAAACTTGAAAGTTACTGTCCCAATCAAGGGAGTGGTTACGTTTAGTGGTGCCTCCGGGCTACAACAACAGCAACATACCCAGTGAAATCCCACACGTGAGGTCTGAGGATGGTAGTGTGTACGCAGACCTAACCCTTGTCTTATGAATATAGTAAATGGTACCTCGGAGCTGTCCAGCAAAAAGCTACAGCCCCAATATAATATATCCAACATTCACATGGTGAAAGAATATAGCAATCGAAAAGCTATAACTCAACTACTCCTGTATGAAGGACAACTATGTTAATCATAATCAAGTCTATCTTGTCAAACATTTAGAGTAACTTACATGATTGAACAGAAACAGATGAACTGTATATCAGCTCATGATGTTTAATTACTAGCAATAATTGATATTTAACCAAAAGGTCGAGGAGAGGTATTACCACTCTTTAAACTAGTACGTACTAGTATAGATTTTTCTTTCAAATCAATAGCATGTACTATGAATTACTGAAGATTTAAACCCTACCACAACATTCACAACCTTTGCTACAAGACGACAGATCACACACTCCCGAACAAATTTATTGTATTCCCTTTTTTTCCTTCATATAACACGTTTTGAACCAAAAGAAATTTATAAGAAAAAGGGGCTATTGGATAAGAGAGCAAGAGTCATCTGTACATGGTAAGGTTAACCAGAAGAGGACCATAAGCTCTTCAGTCAAATTTGATCTATAGATTAACGAAAATGAACGACAACAGCCAGCAACCAAGATAAGATCAAAGAAATAGCAGATTTACAATGGAGATAGTAACTTTGCGATATTAATTTCCAAGCTCAAGGAACCCAAAAGTATTTTCGCCACTGTATGTCATGTAGAGAAATCCATCCTCATCCTTATTTTCCTCATATATTGCAGACAACAGAGCAGCTGCAACGAAAGAAGATGCAATTATACAACTATCAGAATAAGTAAAAGACCTACATAATCTCTCTTCTTACCCGTGGGAGGCAAAGTGTTGTTGACAAAGACAAATATGGCCTTCTCAGCACTGAGCTTGATCCTCTTCCGAACCACATAAACAAACTGGCCGACAGTCAAATCAGCTGGAACAAGGTATCTGCATCACAAGGTAAGACAAATGAGCATTAACAGGGCGGCCAACCCAGTCCAACTTCGGACAATCAGACATAGGAACCGTAAGTGACAATAACATTGGATATAAATGCTGCCAACATTTGACGGCTAATGAACACTTAGCATGTTTAGTTGCAGAGGAGAAACATCCTAGTGATCACAGGTCCATTCCTCCCAATTCACTAAATTAAACTCAGCTTATGAGCTATTTCCACACGCAATCCCATTCTCCATGGAAAGATCATGGACTCAAGTATTTGATCATTTACGTCACGAGAACCTCAGGGAAGACAACAGCTTTTTTGAAATTCAAATTTAACAGAAAAAGCAAAGGGTATTCCATCAACCTTCCTGCCCGATTCTCCTATAGGGCTATTGGGCTATTGATATGGATTTTTTGTTCTAAAAAGTGATACGAAAAATGAAAATTAACATCCTTAAAAGCTTGCACATAAAATATAACCACCCCCAACTTCCCATGAAAATATCCTTATCTCAAACTAATAGGAACAAACACCTCATATAACTAGCTATGCTAAAACCAAACATTCGATCCATAAAACAGGGTAAGATGCACAAAGTCATTCTTGTACCCATAAGTCAACAATAACCACCAAAGAGAAGAACACAATTTGCCGGACTACCAGTAGGAGAAGCCAAAACACAATCCATGTAATTGAATTTGTAAATTTAATTACCTTCGGGTAGAAGCTCATAAACTAAGAGCTTGATTCTGAAAATTTAACGTCCAAAACATCTAGGAAAAGAAGGAAAGTAGAAACTTACTTCTTCTTATCAATGTCAGGGATATCACTCCTCTCTGCCTTCTCAACAATCACCTGAATAAGGAAATATGAATGTCAGAGAGAAGCAAACAAGAGTACTAAGTATTGAATTAAAGCCAAGATGCTCTTCAGATAATAAACATCATACCGGAATTCGATCGGGATACTTCTCTCGGATGCGAGAAGATTCTGCCTGCCTCCTCTCTATAAACAAAACCACATTGTGCATTAATCAGAATTTACACCTGAAAGTACTAGCTTTCTTGTCTGATGTTTTCAAGCAAAAATAGGATGTGCTCAGGAGAATCTAGAAAAGCTTATGCAGTCTCTGTTCCATAAGCTAACCACCAGTTCATAAATTTGTTAGCAATTCCAAACAGTACATAAAATTTTAAGACGAAAAGGTCAAAATAACCACCATAGTCCACTATGTCCTTCTTTTCTATAAACATATGTGCCCACACATGCGGAAGGGAAAAAAGAAACTAAAAGCCAATCATGCAAGCTATGACATGACACATGACTCTTACATGCTTTACAAGAAGGTTTTTCAATAAACATTCTCAACATAAAATTTGGAAGCATTGATGATAGGCTATAATTACGTATTTTAGTCGATTATTACACTTTAATTTACTGCACTTTAGTTGAGTTTGCGCTTTAATCGCTAGTGTTTTGCACTAATTGTGTGTTTTATGCCTTGTAGGTGTGATTCAGAGCTATATAGATGTTATGGAATGAATTTAAGTGGTTTGGATCTTTGAAGTCTGAGTAAGAGCTCAAGGAATTAAGCCGGGATCGCGTTCGGGGATCAACGGATGATAAAACAACAAAACGAAAACTCGAAGAGGCATATTGCGCACTGTATAGTAAAATAGATATAACGTTTTGCTCAGAACTCCATTTGGGCCCCATAATATATGGTTGGAAAGATAACTCAAAGGGCAACAACTTTTATGTTTTACGTTTTTCCATATTCCAAACGGAACAGGGTGAAAAACCACGGTTACGGTAGGACCGCGGCAGAAGGCAGTCGCGGACAAATGAAGAACCTGAGAGGGTGTTTGGCCGCGGTTCCGGCGTAACCGCGGTGGAACCGCGGCAGGATGCGTAAATTTCAGGGACCAAAGTGCAAAACATGGGATTTTAAGCCCTAAACCCTATATTAAACCAAGGAAGCCGGCCAAGAAAAGAAATTGGACATATTTTTGACATAGGTTTGACCTAAGGAGGCAGAGACACAATAGGAGCAAGGCTTGGGAATTCTTCTACAAGTTTTTTCTTTCCTCTTCCTATTTTTCATTGTTGGTTATGACTTTTAGTATTGTAGTTTTACATACTATTATGAATAGCTAATTTGTTATCTAGAGTTTTGATAGAACCTTTTGTAGGATAAATTCTTGTTATGTTTTTATATAATTGAGCCGTAGTATAATCTCTATTTGTTCAACTACGTTCTTATTGTAGTTAATTGAAGAGCTCTCAATTAGCTGTGCCTATTTAGTATGCATAACTCGGGAGAGAGTGCATATTTAGGTAATTGTTGAACAACACCACTGCCAGAGTATATGAGGGATCAATAACCGAGGGTTTAAAGGCGGGATTAAGGATAACGAAGCCTTGGTGCGATCTGAAGTGAGCTGTATCAAAAGCCAGCTAGCGTAGCTCGGGAGAGTGTGTCTAGTAACTTGTCGTGATTACTCAGGAGAGATTTACGGTAATAAGAGTGCTCATGATCGGTATAGAACACTTAGGCGAAATTATAGAAGACATAGCGGGAAGGATTCCGACAATTGGGGAAATCATAACTC